AAAAAAAAAGTGCAAACGGAATGCAAGAACGCTTCCTGTTGCAAGAGCGTGAAGCTCCGCTTCGAAAAAGACACTGCGTTCTGCTTCTTTTCCGCTGTGCTGCTGCGGCATCCAGCTGTTTTTAAACGCAAAAAGAACATAGAACGCGTTCTGTGCGTGTGTGAACCGCCCAAAAATTACAGGCTTAGGACCACGCCTGTCCTAGAAGGAGGAGTGGGTTAAGGCGTAAGTGTAGACATTTTTCAGTCACACTTTACAGCTGCAAAGGAGCACAGGGCAAAAAAAGTTAGAAAATGTCCGGCGTGGCATCCACACTCGCCAAGAAGAGAGCCGAGGCGGCTGGCTTTGGGACGAACGCCAATGCGGTGAAGTACCTGAACCAGAACTTTGAGAGTCTGAGAAGCGAATGTCTGAGCCGCGGAGAGCTGTTCTGCGATCCAAGCTTCCTAGCCGCTCCCGAGTCTCTGGGCTTCAACGAACTCGGTCCACGATCGTCAAAAACCAAAGGTGTTGTGTGGAAAAGACCTGGGGTGAGTCCCTATGAAAGCAACATGAATATAGTTTTGCCAAAGCAATGCATCATGTATGCTATCTATCTATCTATCTATATGCATACTCACTGTGGCATGAAGCATTAAACTCTTGGTAATGTGATTTTCATAAAAAACAATATATGCCAACATATGACTCATCCCTTGAATATTTAAATGGAAAACAGGCAACAACATAGAACAAATCTTCATGTCAATGCTTTTTACCATTTCTGCAGGAACTGACCTCCAGTCCTGAGTTTATTGTTGGAGGGGCTACAAGAACAGATATTTGCCAAGGAGGTTTAGGTAAGTAAACGCCCCTGCTAGGTGCAGTTCTAACAGATTTAAAAGTCCACAAGGTGTTCGTTATGCGGAATGGCAAAACGCATGTGAGATTGACCAAATATGTCTTGCATTTTATGAAGCTCTCTTGGAATTGTTCGTATTCTTTTTAACTTTATTGGGAAATCCCCTCTAAACATTTTAAGGAGCACACCCAATGAGTATTCTGTTCCCCTTTAAACAAGTTTGC